GGGGGGGAGGGCGGGTATAAAGGTGTTCTTTTTCCTTTCCTTTTTTTTCCTTATTTATTTATTTATTTATATAAATAAAGAAATAAAATAAGATAAAAAAGAATAATAAATAAATAAATAAATAAATAAACATTATATTATTATTTATTTATTTATTGCTTCTTCTCCTTCGACCTGCTGCTGCTGCTGCTGCTGCTGCTGCTCCTGGTGTGCTGCTGGCTCAATGCAAATAAACAAGAGCCCTTGTTCTTTATTTAATTATAAAAAAGAATAATAAATAAATAAATAAATAAATAAATAAATAAATAAATAAATATAATAAATATATATATAAATAAGATAAAGAAAAAGGAGGAACAATTATCTGAATGTATCCGTAGACAGAGATGGAGGAAAAAAGAAAAAGAAAAGGTGCCTATACACCTGAATAAATTACCAATAAATAAATTAATTAATATATACAAGGTGCCTATACACCTGAATAAATAACCAATAAATTAATTAATTAATATATACATCTTTTTTTATTCCTTTCTTATTTGTTACGAATATACAAAAAGATTTAGGCAAAAGAACTCTTATAACAATTACCTCTAGGTATTTAGTTATGCAGCAACAGCAGCAGCAGCAGCAGCAGCAGCAGCAGCAGCAGCAACAGGAAGGAAATAGAGCAACAGGAAGAAGATACAGCAACACAATTCACCAGGACCAGCAGCAGCAGCAGCAGCAGCAGCAGCAACAGCAGCAGCAGCAGCAGACAGGCAGCAAAAGGAAGCACCGGGCAACTGCAATGGCAGCCAAGGACACAGACACAAGACTCAAAACAGACAACAGCAGCAGCAGCAACAGCAGCAGCAGCAACAGCAGCAGCAGCAGCAACAGATGCAGCAGGTGGAGTAAAGGAACAGCAGAATCTGGAGGACCTGCAGCAGCAGCTGTTGCAGCAGCAGCAGCAGCAGAAGCAGCTGCAGCAGCAGAAGCAGCAGCAGAAGCAGCAGCAGAAACAGCAGCAGAAGCAGCAGCAGAAGCAGCAGCAGCTAAATAAAAGAATAGATAATATAGGGGAAGGAGATCTATATAATATTTTGAAGGATTTTGCTGCTACACCTGCTGCAGCAAATAAATGTGCTGCTGCTGCTGCTGCATGCATGCAAACTTTGGGGCTTTATGCCCTCATTGCTGCTGCTGCTTGTGCTCTCTGCATGCGCTGCCTGAGGCTTATGGCTGTGGTGGTGGTGCTGCTGCAGCTGCTGCAGCAAGAAAACCCTTCCGTGCTGCTGCTGCTGCACGCAACAGCAACTACAGCAGCAGCAGCTGCAGCAGCAGCAGCAGCAGCAGCAGCAGCAGCAAAATCTTAATTAATTAAGACAATCTATTGGATCAAAAGCAAAGGAAAGACAAAAACAAAAAAAGAAGAAAAATAATTTATTTATTTATTTATTTATTTGTTTATTTATTTATTTATTTATTTATTTATTTATTTATTTTCTTGTCTTTTGCTGCCTCTCTTCTTCTTTATTAGTATTCAGTGACATATTAGCTAGCTAGCTAGCTAGCTAGCTAGCTAGCTAGGTTAGCTATCTATCTAGCTAGCTAGCCAGGTTAGCTATCTAGCTAGCTAGCTAGCTAGCTAGATAAATAGTTAGCCAGTTAGCTAGCAAGTTGGCTAGCTAGCTAGCTAGTTGTATAGTTGTATGGTGTCTCAGTTAAGGATTTGCCTCCTCCGTTAGCCAACCGCAACACAGCAGCAGCAGCAGCAGCAGCAAGAGCAGCAGCAGCAGTTGCAGCTCTGTTATTTGTTTTGTTTCTGCATGCATGCAATGATTTGCTGCTTGTTTATACAGCAGCAGCAGCAGCAGCAGAATTGCTGCTGCTGCATGCAGCAGTTTGGGGCTTCTTTAGCCTTTGCATGAATGGACCAGGGGATTGCTGCAGCAGCAGCAGCAGCAAGGAGAGTACTGCAGCAGCAGCAGCAAGACGACTACAGTTGCTGCCCGCTGCTGCTGCAGCAGGCAGAGTATTGCTGCTGCCTGCTGCATCCCTCTTTGCTGCTTCTTCTGCTGCAGCAGATGCAGCAAAAAGGGATTACTGTTACTTAAATAGTTAGACACTTGCTACATTTGCTGCATTTGCTGTAGTTGCTGCAGTTGCTGCAGTTGCTGCAGTTGCTGCAGTTGCTGCAGTTGCGGTGTATCTGCAGCATACTTGTCTCTAAGGAAAATGTATTTATTGTTTTGTCTTTGCATGCAAATAAACACAAATAAGGTAAGATGATAAACAAAGTGTTGCTGCTATTAGCTGCTGCTGCTGCTGCTGCTGCTGCTGCTGTTAGTAACAAGTTGCCGTCACAGGCGCACGAGGGGCAGGAGATCTAAGGAGATAATAAAGATGTTTAGTTGCATGCAGTAGGGAAAATAAATAATAAAAAAGAATTATAAAAGTGCATCTTTTGCTGCAGCAACGATCTATTTGCTGCTGCTGCTGCTACTACTACTACAGCAGCAGCAGCAGCAGCAGCAGCAGCGCTCTCCTTCGATATGCAGCAGCTGCCTACACTACCTACCCCCGTGCTGCAGCAAAAGGAGCATTTAATCTAATTGTTTCTTTTTATTTATATAAAAAGAGTAAATTAATATTATATTTAATTAAAATATGGTGCTATTTAGCAAAAATAAAGAAAGAAAAGGAGCTGCACATACACCCGAAGGAGGCGGCGATACAGCAACGCCTCCTATATATACGACTCCTGCGTATACACCTAAAAGGAGGAGCAGCAGTATTTATTATTATAAATAAAGAAAAAAAACAAATAAATAAATAAATAAAATATAAATATACAATTAAATAACAAGAAAATACATAAAGAATCAAAACAAATAACGACAGCAACTAGCAGCAGCAACAGCAGCAGCAACAGCAGCAGCAACAACAGCAGCAGCAGCCCGTATATATTATGTATGAGGCCCCAGGATCGGCAGCAAAGCAGTATATGCTGCATAAGAGGGGGCAACATCTTTTCTTTTTTTTTATTAAATGTTTAATTTAATTTATTTATTGCCTTTTTATGTATATAATAACATAATTATGCAAACAAATACACACTAACAGCAGCTTGCCCCTTGAGCGAAGTGTTGCTGCTCGCTGCAGCAGCAGCAGCAGCAGCAGCAGCAGTAAACTACTGCATATACTTACCAGGTGTTGAAACCTAGGCATTTCTCTCTCTTGCTGCACTAGCGTCACGAGAAGCAGCAGCAGCAGCAGCAGCGGCGGCAGCAGCAGAGGCGGCGGCGCCAGAAACGACTACAGCGGCAGCAACACCAGCGACAGCAGCAGCAACAGCAGCAACACCAACAGCAGCAACAGCAGCAGCAGCTAATTGTATTGCTCTACCTGCACAGCTGAGGTGTACGTACACCGCAGATACGAAGAAGACTTCATTCGCTCATTGAGCATTGGCGAACGACCCCCATACATTTGCTGCCTTCTGCTGCTGCTGCTGCTGCAGTAGCTGCAGCAGCAGCTGCAGCAGCAGCAGCAGCTGACGGACTTTCTGCCGCTGCTGCTTGTACTATTGCTGCTGCTGCAGCAGCCACATGCAATGCTTACTCTGCTGCTAACAAGATATAAATGTTTCTATGGCGGCTGCTGCAGCTAAGGATACACTGCAGCTAATTCAGGTGTATAGGCAGCTCCTTTGTTGCAGCAAAATAATTAATTAATTAATTTTTCCCCTTCAATGTTACCACCACATGCTGCAGCAGCAAGGCACCTGCTGTGGGGCCGCATGCATGCACGCATGCTGCAGCAGCTGCTGCTGCTGATCCTTGTCGTGCTGCTCCTTGTTCTCTCGCCCCATCAGCAGCAGCAGCAGCAGCAACAGCAGCAGCAGCAGCAGCAGCTGTTGCAGTGGCCTGGTGTTATTGGGGCATTAGCAGACTCTAACGAAGTAACACCAGCAGAGAGTGATCAAGAAAACACAGCAGATCCTGCTGCAGCAGCAGCAGCAGAAGCAGCAGCAGCAGCAGAAGCAGAAGCAGCAGAAGCAGAAGCAGAAGCAGAAGCAGCAACTGCAGACACAGCAGCAGAAACAGCAGCTGCAGCAACCCCACAAGAGGATGGAGTCGTCGATTCGGGGTCTGCTAATGCAGCAGCAGCAGCAGCAGCAGCAGCAGCAGAACCAGCAGCAGAAGAAGCAGCAGCAGCAGCACAGTTTGTAGAGGATGCTGACTACTTGCCTGAGGCAGCAGAGATTGCAGAAGCAGCAGAAGCAGCAGAAGCAGCAGAAGCAGCAGCAGATCCGCAAGAAGCGGCAGCAGATCCTACAGCAGCAGCAGCAGCAGCAGCAGGGGATCAAGGAGCAGCAGAGGCGCGTGGATCAGCAGCAGCAACAGAAGATCAGGTTGAAGAAGCAGCAAGAGACACAGAAGCAGCTGCTGCAGAGCCTGAGGCAGCAGCACCTGCTGCTGCAGCAGCAGCAGCAACAGCAGAGCCCGAAGCAGCAGCAGCAGAGCCCGAAGCAGCAGCAGCAGAGCCTGCGGCAGCAGCAGCTGCTGCCTCACCTTTGCGAGAAGTCCATCAGGGAGCAGCAGCAGCAGCAGCAACAGCAGCAGAAGAAGGAGAGTCTGAAACTGCTGCTGCTGCTGCTGCTGCTGCTGGCTGCGATGCACCTGCTGCAGTAGAGGAAGATTTCAGTGTACAGGCAGCTCGTGGTTTATTAGGAGTAGTAGAGGATACAGCAGCAGCAGCAGCAACAGCAGCAGCAGCAGCAGCAAAATTGGAGAAAGAATTCAATATTTTTAAGAATGCATGCGAAGCTAAATCAATGGCTCATGAAGGCCAACTCAGTAAGCAAAAAGCCCCAACGCATGCATGCATGCATGCATGCATGCATGCATTGGGGCTTTTATACATGCTTGCATGCATTGGGGCTTTTATGCATGCATGCATGCATAAATGTGTGCATGTGTGTTGGTAGCGATGCGAATGTTATCTTTTTATGACTTATTTTGCTGCCTCTGTCTTTGCTGCTGCTGCTGCTCTTAGCTGCTGCTGCTGCTCTTAGCTGCTGCTGCTGCTGCTGCTCTTTGCTGCTGCTACTGTTGCTGCTTTGCTGTTCGCATCATTTGCTGTTATTTAGTTCTTTTTCTTTGCTTGTTTGTTTGTGTGTTTATGTTTCTTATATTATTACTATTAATAATTATTTATTTATTTATTTATTTATATATTTATTTATTTATTTATTTATTATTACTATTATTATTAATTACTATTAATTATTATTAATTATTATGCCCTTTATCTGTGTGTCTGTGTGATGTGTGTAGCTGCAGCAGCAGCAGAGCTGCAGCAACTGCAGCAGCAGTTGCATGCAGTGCAGGTAGGTTTATCAAGTATACCTGCATTGCATGCATTAGAGCAGCAGCAATTTGTTGGGGCTTGGATAGCAGCAGCAGCAGCAAATAATTTATCTACGCAATTTAGTAAGGAAGAATCATTAATACAACAACTTGATGCTATTCAAGATAGCCAACAAACAGTAAATTATTCTCCTGCTCCTGCTGCTGCTGCTGCTGCTGCTGATGCTGCTGATGGTGCTGCTACTGCTGCTGCTGCTGATGGTGCTGCTGCTGATGGTGCTGCTGCTGCTGATTATGATGATGATGATGATGATGGTGATGGTGATGTTTGTTTCTCCTATTGGTGATGCTCGTTACTTCTGCTGCTGCTGCTGCTGCTTCTTGCTGCTGCTGCTGCTTCTTGCTGCTGTTGCTGTTGCTGCTGCAGGCAACATCGTTTGCTGCAGTGTGTGTATGGGGTGTGGTGTTGGGGCTGCATGCATCTTTATCTTATTATATATTTTATATTATATTTTATTATAATTTATTATAATATTTATTATAATTTATTATTATTTATTATATGTTATTTCTTTTTGCATGCATTTTGTCCTCTTCCTCATTTGCTGTGTTTTTTTTTTCTGCTGCTGCTTTATTTGCTGCTGCATTTGCTGCTGCATTTGCTGTTGCATTTGCTGCTTTATTTGCTGCTGCATTTGCTGTTGCATTTGCTGTTGCATTTGCTGTTGCATTTGCTGCTGCATTTGCTGCTGCATTTGCTGCTGCATTTGCTGCATTTGCTGCTGTTGGTGCATTTGTTGCATTTGCTGCATTTGCTGCTGCATTTGCTGCTGTTGGTGCATTTGTTGCATTTGCTGCTGCATTTGCTGCTGCATTTGCTGCTGTATTTGCTGCTGTTGTGTTGTATATTTGTTGCAGATGTCTCGTGAATTAGATGTATTGAATCGTTCTTATTCATCATTAGAGGAGAATATACATGAGCAGCTTGGTGCTGCAGTTGCTGCTGCTCATGATACAGCAGTAAGTAGTTATAGGATAATATCTGATTATTATATAGATATAACAAGAAAAAAAATACAAGAAATACAACAAGAATATAATAATCATAAATTAGATGAATTATCTACAGATAGAATTATTGCAGATATTATTATTCAATTAAAAAAAAAAGGTGTTGCTGTTATTGATTTCTCTGATGTATTTATTGAATATCCTTTTGAACTTGTACGCAAAGAATTCATGGCAAGAATTGCTAAAAGAATTAAAGCTTTCTTGTAAGTATTTATAAATGTACTGCTGCTGCAGCAGCAGCAGCAACAGCAGCAGCAGCAGCAGCAGCAGCAGCAGCAGCAGCAGCAGAAACAGTAGTAGCAGCAATAGGAATACCCACACGCACACACACACCCACGCACGCATTCATGGCAAGAATTGCTAAAAGAATTAAAGCCTCCATGTAACTACTTACACACAGCAGTAACAGCAGGAACAGCAGCAGCAGCAACAGCAGCAGCAGCAGCAGAAATAGTAGTAGCAGCTGTATTGGTGCTGCTACATGCGTGCATGCGTCAATGTATGCATGGAGTTGTGTTACTGTATGTGTGTGTGTGTGTGTGGTGTATATTCAGCTTGCCTGTATTTATAGTAACAGAGACAGCAGCAGATATGAGTGATTGGCTGTATAGTCAGTATCATTTGCTGCCCTCTGTACGTCTTATAGAGGCAATAATTGATGAATTAGCTCATACAAATGATAAGGAAGCATATGCAGTAGTACATGTACAAAGTGTTAATACAGAAGTTATTATACGTAGAACAGATCCAGCAGCAGCAGCAGCAGCAGCAATAACATCAACAGGAATAACAGGAACAACAGGATCAACAACACAGCCATCTAGCAGCAGCAGCAGCAGCAGCAGTAGCAGCAGTCCCAACACATCAAGAACGGTGGTTGGCACTGGAGTGAAGCCGGGCAGCATGCATCACCACCACCACCACCATCACCATCACCATCAGCAGCAGCAGCAGCAGCAGCAGCAACAATTACCTATGACCAGTATGCCTGTAGGCCGTCTACTACCATTTATTGCACCACCATCACAAGAATCCTTAATTGTTGCAAGAAGTGTTTTTTTTGGATCCGAAATAATTAAAAGATTTGAGACATTAACAAAAAGTTATTTAAGAAGTATGGTTGGTGGACAGCTAGCTAAGAGAGCAGTACTTATAGTATATATGGGGGAACGAGCAGGTATGCTCTTACTGCTGCTCCTGCTGCTGCTCCTGCTGCTCCTGCTGCTTATGCTGTTGATGCTACTAATGATAAGGATGCTTATTGTGATTATTTTCCTGCTTATGGTCATGCTACTTATTATAATCATGCTTATAATCCTGCTGTTCCGGCTGCTGCGATTGATGCTGCTCCTGTTGCTGCTGCAAGTAGTGCTGCTGTATATATATATGTATATATATATGCATACATGCATGCTTATGTATGTATATATCTATTGTATATTATGTATATATGTTCTTTTTTTTCTGTATTTTGTTTATAGGGGAGATAAAATCTCTTAGTGCAGGTCCTCAAGAGGTTGTAAGGAAATTAGAAACAGCAGAGAAACTTTGCACGGCATTCAGTGCTCCTATTCAAGAAGTTGCTGCCTTATGGACACAGATGGAGACAGAAGTTCCCTTCTATTCCTCCTTCTTTAGAGGGTAATGCTGCTGCTTTTGTTGCTGTTGCTGTTGCTGTTGCTGTTGCTGCTGCTTGCTGATCCTGCTATCGATGCTGATGCTTCCTGCTTCCTTCTAGTTTTTTTTGTTGTTATTTTCTTTAAATATTGCTTACTGTGCTTTTTTTTTTCCTTAGGGAGCCGCTAGTCTTCGACTCTGTTCCCGTCTCGATCTCGTTCGACCCTGTGAAGTTACCTCCCCTTCCGCCTTCTCCTTTGTTTAGGTACACAGCAACTTAAATAAACAGTCTATTTATATTTCTCTTTTTTCTTTTTTTTATCTTTTCTTCTATCCGTTATCTATGATTTGGGGTCTGTTATGGCTTTCCTCCCCATCGCTTGTTCGTTGCCTGTTCTCTCCATGCGCTGCTCTTTTATGTCAATATTTCTTGCGTCTTCTCTGCTGCTTCTTTTGTTGGCTTTACCTGGTACTGCTTGTGCTGCTGTTCCTGATTGAGGAGCTCTTTCTACTGTTGCTGCTGCTTCTGTTTGTTTTCTGCGTGCAGAGGAGAGTTTGGCGTATTGCAGATACAGGCCTTGTGCGTTCGCGACATGTGGCAAGTACCTTCCTCTGGGGCGTTGGAGGCAGCTGTTTCTTATTTGAACAGCCGACCGGAGAGGGGAGGAGTTCAAGTTGTGATTGGTGTTGTAGAGGAAAAAGTTATGACTTTCTGGCGGTCTGTCACCAATTATGATGTCCGCCTCTTTGTCCGCAGTTCAGATGCCCCGCCGTTGACACTGAAACTGAGCGCATATCCCAGCAGTTTCGGCAGCATCAGCAGCAGCAGCAGCAGCAGCCGGAGCAGCAGCAGCAGCGGCAGCAGCAGCAGCAGCAGTTCGCCGGCAAGGCCTACGGTGGTCGCCCTTGCAGGAGAAGGCGCCGTGAGACAGTACTTGACTCAGGCGCTGGCAAAAGTCGTGATCCCGAGTATTAGCCCTAGGGCCACCTTCAGGCGGCTACTGATCCACGTCTGTGTCGCTGGCAAAACTTGCTAAAGGGATTGCCTTTGATTGTTCTTCTTGATGTTTTCCCTGATTTCTTCTCTTCCTGTTTCTCCCTCTTCATTACTCCGATGTTTGACTGCTTGGTTCTGTTTGGCTTTTGCTTTTCTTTACGCTTGCCTTTTTGCATTTCTTCTCTGCTTCCGTAGCGGATATACCGTTGTTGCATGCCAGTGCAAACCTGTTTGTGCGTTTCTTCTGTTTGCCCCTCCTTACTGCTGCTTGCCCTCTTTGATTATTTTTCTCTCGTATTTCGATATCCTCCTTTCTTCTCTTTTCTTTCCTCTTATATCCTTCGATTTCCTTAAAAGTTTCCCCTCTACATCCTAAGAAGGACTTGGGGAGGCACCACCGCTCAGCGCAGCTATGCGCTTTCTTCGATATGACGACATAAGCAATTCTTTGCTGGTCTCTCACAGAAGATTTTTTGCTCTGTCAACTGCCACTGGAGACTTTTCTATTTGATATATTAAGAACGATTCACCTACCCGCATGTTTATGTATATCAGCATATACATATATATTCATGTTTTCAATATACATGCAGCCATGTATGTATACATATATATGTACACATATATGTGCTTATAGACATATACATTTGTGTATATGTATATGTCTATAAATACATATGTTCCTGTATGTACTTTGATATAATCATATACATTTATACATCGTTATATGTATACATATACATTTATATATTTGTTTAAATGCGCGTGTGTATATAAATGCGTATGCATATATGTATACGTTTGTATACATATAGTTATGTATACACGCATATACACATGCATACAACTGCCATGGTAATAATGGACTCGAAGATACTTTGTACCTCTTCGTACGCAAAGAGGTTTTTGCTGCGTCAACAGGTCCCCGCCTTGCATATACAACGCAGGCGTTTTGTTTCGGTTTCATCAACCTCTCCTTTAGGCAGCTCTACATATTTATAATTCATAGTGTATAAACATATATTTGCGTATTTGCATGTATGCATATTGTTCTTTATACACACATATGTATATATACATATAAATCCAGGGTTATATATAGAACCCCAGGCACTGTAGGTACGGGGAGAACTACCGTTGTGGGGTGATTATATCTATGCACACTATCTCTTGAACATTTACGTGCATAGGTATATTTTTTCACCATATGCATACCTTTATTCTAATAATATACAGCGTTTACTGCAACTAGTATGGTCACGCATTTATGAACGTATAAGGACGTTTGTTGTACTTACGTATCACGGCCGACGCAGTATTTATCTAGCTGCCTACATTGTAGCTAGGCTGCAGCCATACATCCACCTACCGTGGTTGTAGTGTAGCCTTCTTTGCAGTTGTAAACACTTGTAGGAACACTGTATATGTGTATTCTGGTTGTAGGTATAACGACCTTTATAGTAGTGCAACAGCCTTGTGTTAAATACAGACTCTGTATTGTACAGGGTAACTGTGGAGGGGTTGATGCACGCGGTTGTTAGTCCGCTTGTAATTTATTTAATTATTCAGACCTAATTAATAACTACATTTAACTAGATATTGGCTTTGTTTTCGTGTTGTTCTGCCGATGCATTCTTTCCTGGTTGACGCATTTATTGTAGTGCACAGGCACTACATAGTCCACAGTTGCGGTAGACAGCGTGTAAGACAGAGAGTGAGCACAGCAGCCTATAAGAGACCTGAGGTTACCTAAGCTTAGCTATAGATGGAATTCGATAATATTAGTAGGTTCAGAAGCATATTAGAGGTGTAGCAGTGTATTTGGTGCTGAGGCTGAATAGCAGCACCCCGTCGCAGAGCTATGCGCGCTGGCGCATAGAAGGTAAGTGACATAGATAGGTCATGTTTGGCTCTGTGTATTCAATTTAGGATAGGGGTTTTGTGAATTAGAATAAAATTGGTACATTTAGGAGCAGAGTTAGTCCGAAAGAGTCGGGCCTTGCCTGCGGTCCGACCGCTGCACCCGGTGCCGGGATGGACGGCAGGGTGTAACCCGCACCTGGCGGGGACGAACAGACACTCAATGAAGGAAGGCGATTTGGATCGATCCTTCCTTCGGAAGTTCCGTAATTTAGGGGTTTTCCCTGTGAATAACTGAGAGTTGAAGTATTTGGACACGCGTTTTGTAGATCTAGTTCATACAGGGGGCCTATAGGCCTATAGGGGTGACTACGTAGCCACGGTAGACGGCCACCGTGTGTTACATTTATGGGTGTAGACCAGAACAAGGCATCTGTGGCATGCATGTTACACGGACGGGAAACCTGATTACATATGTTATAAATAATAAACTTTAATGCCATTAAACAAGAAGAATGCAGTAATTATCTATTTCAGCAGCAATATAGGGGTGAGAGGAACACGCTGTAATGGTTATTGTACACTGCGCGTCGCCCATTCCTGTTGTATGCGGGCAGCAGCTCTGATCACTCGACATTACGAATTTTAGGCATTTTTCGCCTCAATTTATTTTCTTTAAACGCGACTTCATTTATATTTTGTTATTTATTTATCTTCCCCGCTTCAAGTAAACCCACGTCGTCATTACCACGACAGGAACTACGCTCCGACTGCGCGAGCAGCATAGAGCTGGGAGGAGCCTTGGCGTTTCGCCTTTTTTCCCACCATCTTTATGTTGTTCTCTTTTATAAGTGTATATAAACACGCAAGCTGAACTAAAAGGACCTTGCAGCAGCATCCTGCTAAGCATCCCCGTGTATATGCCCCGCCGCCTACGTATACTGCTTCATCACGACTGCAAGCAACTCTTATTATTTCAAGCACTGCGCCGAGAAGAAATATAAACCCGTGCAAAAACAGCATGTTATTTCTTAGTTTGAACAGAAGCCTGGAGGTTGCTGTTGGCTACAGCAGCACCGACAATCGGGCAAAGCAGCATCGTCAACATACACTTTCTTCAACTTTGTTTTAAATGCGAAGACCAACCCCTCGGAGATAGAAGCACTGCACACAGCAACCTCCACTGTATATACATTCTAAAAGCAATACAATTGCTCATCTTGAGAACTGCAGGAACACCTCTATCGTGGTGTCTGCTTAGCAGCAGCATATTTCACGACTATTATGCTTCTCTAAATACTTTTTTTTTACATTTATGTATATGTACATGGGTGTATGTGTTACAAATAAACCATTAAGCATTAAGTAGATACATATAAGGTGCTTTTAATTCTTGCAAAAACTGTCAGCAACGGGGCAACACAACCAGCAGTAGCAGTAGCAGCAGCAGCAACAGCAGCAGTAACAGTTAACAGCAGCAGAATCTTTGCTGCTTTTGGGGGGGAATCAGAGGATGTGCTCTTGCACAGGAGGACGCAGTAGCCTGAGCAGTTGATCCCCCTGTCTGTTGTCTTGTGCACACAGACACTTGCTGCTGCTTTTGCTGCTGGTGTTGCTCCTTCAGCTGCCGAGCATGTCTTTCGCGCAACTGAGTGCGGCAGCTTCTGCTGCTGCTGATGCTGCTTATATGGAGGATGACCGGCGGGCTAAGAAGCTGCAGAAGCAGCTGCGGCTACACATAGGCAAGTTGCAGTCTTTGCAGCGCATGCATGGAACATATGACCCCTGTTTTCTGTCTCCACATGCGTCCTTTGATGAGCAGCAGCTGCAGCAGGAGCAGGACCAGCTGCAGCAGCACGCGCTGCTGCAGCGCGAGCTAGAGGCCTCCGCAGCTGCTGCTGCGCGTCTTCGCCAGGTCCTGCGGCAGCTGCAGGTGCATGCCAACGCCGCACCCTCACTGGTTGAGAAGCAGCAAAGGCAGCAACACTACCAGCAGCATGCTGCTCATTCAGAGGTGCTGCTGCGAGAGCTTCGGGATGCTGCTTGTGGGCAGGAATCGTACCTGCAGCAGCAGCAGCTGGAACAACAGCAACAGGCCGAGCAGCAGCAACAGCAGCAGCTGCAGCATGAAGAAGGATTATCCACACAACGAGAGCAAGGGAGGGTGCACAACGCAGAGCAGCATGATGCAGAATTAACTGCACCGGCAACAGCAGCGGTGTGTCCTGCCACCTCTAGCTTGGGGAGCTCTTCTCGGGTCTCTACCTGTGCTGCTTCTGCAGCAGGTGCAGATTATCCCGCGGCAGAAACGTTGGGAGCCTCTGGTGCAGCAGGAGGAGCAGCAGCAGAAGGCCGTTGGGCGCACAGCATGGGAAAGAACCCTCCTGGGGATCGTGCGGGTGTCGATCCCAGCTCCAATGCGCTGCCTTCTGCTGCTCCCGGTGGACGTGCTGCTTTTGAAATGCATGCAGTGCATGCAATGCATACACCACAACCTCACACAAGCTTAGGGCCCAAAATTGGCGGCTTTTTGGCGCCTCTCCAGCTGCAGCACCAGCTCATGCAAGCAACCGCGTAAGCACCAGTAGCTGCTTACGCGGTTTGCTGCTATTGTGTGCATTCCCCTACCATTATGGCCCGGTGTCTGTCTTTCGGTCCCTTTGTTTATATTGTTTCCTGGTTCATTGAGAGTTCTCTCTCCCACTTTGAGTTTGCATGCAATAGGCTGTATCTTGAGCCGCTGCGTGTATGCATCCGCTCAGTTCGGTGCCCATCTTCATTCCTGATAGCAAAATAGCGGCCTCTTTGGTGCAGGAGAAAAGAGATAACTTGGCAAAGATCCAGCGAGATGTTAAAAGTGAGGATTGCTGTCTGCAGGTCGCAGTTAAACACCTCCGTCAAGCACACATACATCCCAACTGTCGTGGTCAGAGACACCAAATTTGTCCACCGTTAGCTGTTATACAGAGCAGGCGAACAAGAAGCTGAACTCGCAGGGGCAGCAAGTGCCTCCCTTCTCTGTTTCTTGTGTTGGTGTACTTCCGTCTGCAGGCATTCAGTCCCTCTACGAACAAATGGCTTTCTTCACAATTGAGCAAGGAAGCCGGCTGGGTACGCGTTTTTAGTGCTTCATTTTCTTGCACCTTTGCGTGCTGCTTCTGCTCGTGTTTGAGGCTTGGGCGGCTGTGCTGTATTCTCTCACCGCTTTGCTGCTGGATAGCAAAATGCGGCAGGGCCAAGTGCTTGCCCCCCTTGTTTTTGTTGCCCGTGCTGGTGCTGTATGCTGACAAGCAGACAGCGGGCGAGAGTTGCTGTTGGCGCATTACGGTGAAGGGTTTGCCGTGTTTCCACCTTAGGAGGGCATCAGGGTTTGGGCCTAGAACAGCACAAACTACGACTTATCTTCCGTGACGATCCAGCGCACAGAGTCTGTAAACTAACCCTTATACGGTGTTTTGCTGCAAGGGCTCACAGAGCCTTTGTGGGGTCTCTGAAGAGCGGCAGCGTGGCGCGTTCAGCGCTTGCTTGCAAGGTTATTTGCGTGTTATGCTGCTGCAGAGGTCGTGGGTCAGACCTTAGAAGGCAGTCGGCAAGAGGCCGCACGGGCGGCTCGAGAAATAGCAACGGCTGTGCGCGCTGAACGGAGGAGAAAATGCAGACGGTAGGCAGGTGCACTTTAGGCTGTTGGCTTTCTCGCGGAATGGAGGAGAAGCAGTTCGCTGCAAGGTAACATTGTGTCGGTTGCGTGAAAAAATAACAAAGGGAGAGGCTGCTCGGCGTGGCTGTCTTCGAAATTAGGCGAAACGTTGGCTCTGCCCTGCTTACTGAGCTGCTGCTCTCAGGTGCATATTCAACTGCTCCCTCTTTCTAGTTCTGCTGTCTTTGGGGTTCACCATTTGGTGGAGCGCTACCTCCTGAAGGATGACGGTCCACACGAACATGAATTTCAAGCGGGAGCTGCCTTATTGGGTTTGCACGCGTGTGCGTGCCTTTTTTCGTCAGATGCGTTTACCGTTGTGTCAAAAGAGCATCGGGTTACCAGCAAGCGAGAGAGACTGCGGGCCGGTCCGCACAGCGTAATGTTCAGGAAGCTCCGATTTCCGTTAGTTGCTTCCTGCCTGTGGGGTGTGACCGGTCCACCCTTTGCCTTTTTTCGATAGTGATAGTTATTTGCTCATCTGGGGAATTTTTAAAACTGCTTAGGTGTCGTGCAGTATGATCTTAGTTTTTAGCTTTAGCCCCCAAAGTACTCCAGAATGCGGCTGTAGCTAAGTCTGGGGCAGCGGTGAGTTATTGTAGAACGTGATGATCAATCCACTTTAGTTTCTCCGATGTATCTCGGCCGTCGGACCGCCAGCCAACTCCAAAGCCATCGCTGTGTTAACTACCATGCATGCTCACCCGGCGCCCCACCTATTCGGTGGTGCAGAAGCAGGTGCCTTAGGAGAGCATTTAATGCTGTTTCCCTGCGGTTGGCCTTTTGCTTTTGCCTGCGTATGGCCTTGAATAGAAGAGGAAACATTCAGTGTTACTGGCATGTCTTCCCCAGCGAAGACCAAAGGTGGAAATTCGGGCTTGCGAGATGCCCAACGCAGGTATTTATCATGCAAAAACAAATGGAACTTTACATAGGCTGCGAGGCCTGCCAAGCTCCCTTAAATATGCTGGTCATGGAGACCGGAAAATGTTGCACATACATCAAGGTGGACAGGAATGGCTGATTTGGGATGTTTGTTGGGATTTATCCGTTTATTTCAGCTTGCTGGGTCGAAACAACCAATTCTGCCATCGGGCCAGCATTTTTCTCCTCACACTGCAAGAATAATTTTTCCTTCAAGAATAATTTTGCCAACGAGATGCGCTAAGCATGGGACGATGCGGGGCGTGCCAAAGTTCCGCCTCATTTACAAAGTCATTGTGTGACAGGCTCCCTCGTTGTTGCAGGGGCAGAGTGCACAGCGTGCAAACGACATGCACTTACTTCCTAGTTACTTCCTAGTGAATATGACCGGCCACCCGCTGGTCGTGGAAAATTGAGCAGACCGAAGGGTCGGGCAACCAGGTCTGTTTGTTACTTGTGTAAGAATATGGTGTTAGCTGCTGCTCTGCCTCTCATTTTTGAGTGTAAAAGGCTTGCTTCTAAGTATCTAGGAATTAGAACAGCGCCTGTCGGCGAAAGAGTCCACTGAAGAACGGAAGAGAGACCGGTGCATACATAGTACACTCTGCTATCCGCCAGAGCGTTCTAACGCAGTTTCCGGTTCTAATCACTCCCAAAACGAATTAAGATGAAGAACATCCCTGGCTAGGATACCTTGACGAAATGTCACCACTTCAACTAGACATAATCAAAATACGTCCTTACAAACTTCTTGCAGGCCCCCGTTGTGGTACCGTCCCCACGCGTGGCCGCCTTTATACGTAAGGAGCTTGTTGGGAGGGATTCTGATTCTGCCGTTGAGTGGGCTTACGAAGCACCCTTCAATGACAGGAGACGATACACGTATGAGATTTGCGCACACGTCTGTGAAGAGCAACGAAGGAGAGCTTTCCCCGGGAAGGACCACTATGCGACATGGGTGGTACCGTCCATTGCTGCGCAATTAAGCCTTATATCCGGAGCACTTAAACCACTGCCTTCGGTTTCTGAGAAGGCAAACTGCGTAAAGAAGCTCTCTTTTTGTCTATATTGCTGCCATTGTCAGTAGCTTCAGACACGGGACATCCAAATCGAGCTGGAGCCCCTTCATTCTGCAACACAACGGAAAATGCCCCGTCCAAAGCAATGCAAAGCTGAAAGGGCTGTGCGTTTGAAACGGGCAGATACCACAGATGATGGCAACAGCCAACATACCTGTATAGATGCCAGGATACCTTCAATAACGGCTGAATCCTCCAGCGCCCCGCTGATTGAAATATCGACTAAGGCGGGTTCCTTCCCAGCGATGAGTTCCTCCCTTTTCTGCTCTTTACACTGTAGTTTTTCGTACAGCTCTTCTGCAAAGGCATCGTGGCAGTTTTGGTGGCCAATTCCCTGAACTGCGAAGTTGGTGGAGCCCGAGACCTTTCCTCCCGTCACCTCGATTCGCCAGCCTGAGGCGCAGTTTAATACATTGAGTGGCTCCGAAATTTTCTACGATGCCTTTGAGGTTTTGCAGACTCTGGAACCGGTTCATCACGACTTCTACATGATATATACACAAGAATAAGCAAGAATAAGCACAAGTAACGTAAAAGCCTGTTTCAGGAAACTAAACTCACAGGATGAAGCTTTCGTCAGCTTCACTGTGCCTTTCAAGCAATTAATCTGGTATGCCAGGGAGTTGTCCCCTACACAGTGACTGATCACGAAAGACCCAAGGGTGCCTGAAGACGAACACGACAAGCCACAGTCGCTGTGAGGAGTTACCTTCCAGGAGTACAACAGTGAATCTGAGTGCTGTTGCTGTTGTACCCAGCCGAGTTTCGGCAACAGCCGAGAGCACGCAGTATGCCAGAACTCGGAATAATGCATTGTGCCATATGCATACTCTGCTCCCCGGTGGGGTTTTTTAAAGTCAGCCATCCGGTTAGACGCGCGAATTCCCGGCGAAGCCGAGTGTTCTTCAACTTTTCCTGCTTTGGGCTTTGTCCTTGCTCCAGCGGGGAAGTACCTGGGCTGCAGCAGGGGGCATAGTCTCCCCTTGCAGTTGCCGAGACAGCGCTAAGCTGCAAGCCAGTCAGCTGGCGCACAGCTGTCACGCAGCGAAGTAAGTCCAAAGCCAAGTGATCTGCAACACGCATCGCCACTTGAAAGCACAACTCTGCCAGTTACGCAGTACAGTTGGTGGACAGAAGCAGCAAGAACAGCTGTCAGAAGGGTCACTGTTTTCTTGTTCTTGTCTTGTTTTCGAAATACATAATCTGCAGTAGCCAAATGCCGATTTTCTCGTGTCCCCATCGAGCTAGGGTACGTAAGCGTCAAATTAATGGTTGCTTACGCTTGATGTCATACGGAGAGGTGGAGAAATTCTGCTTGAGCGCCGTGTCTGTTCCGCACTTGAAACATACAGTTGTCACTCTCCCCAAGGCCGCAACTTTGGCAGCGGCCTCAACAAAGGCGTCTTCTTGCCGGTTATTTTCAACCGCATGCCAAACGAGCGAATTACTATATGGTTTATAGACTTCAAGAAGGGCCGCCCCCTTGGACAAGCTCAGCTGCAGGGGAGAGCGCGTCAGTACGTGCTTGCCCATTGCGAAGATTCGGGGCAGCAAAGACATCTGTAGAGTAGCAACACAATTCCAAATGCAGGTAACCTACTACCTATGATTGCTTGTCACTCTTAACTGCCAAGTTCGAATTGCTTTACTGCTTCAGATGCATACCATTAGCTGCATGTGCACGTCGGCGACCACCGCCTGAATATCCGTCCTTTCTAGCAAATCTGCTAGCCCTTGAGAACCGCTGTACACTTCAACTTCCCGAAGCTCTGTCTTTTTAACCAGAGCAGCAGCTTCTTCCTGCTTGAATGCAAATGCTGCAACGATCTTCATCCGGTTGTCACGGCGGAGCAGTGGAAGGGCCTCGTATCTACAAAGTGCACATTGTTAGCCACAAAAACGGGGAGAGGCAAATGATTTAGCAGAGTACGGTGTGGGTGAGGAAGCCGCCGATGCTTCATTCAGACCAGCGGCCTGAGGCATGCATGCAGTACTGATATCCGGGTCACAACCTACTGGGTCCAGTAGCCAAGCCCAATTAGGGCTACACGGACTGGGTTTCTGCACATGTTCAACGTCCGCATCATCTGAACAGCTTGGGCATAGTTGGGATCGATATGTAACGCCTTTTTGCAGCAATTGATCCCAGCTTCGAAGTTGCCCTCTACTTTGTAGCAACTTGCGAGGTTGACATAAGTGGACGGGTGAGTGCGTTCGGGGTCTAAGTCCGCGCTTGCCTGAAAGCAATAAATAAGGGATAATGCACTTAACCATGTAGCATAAATATTCAGCCTTGTTCTCCTAAACGGAACTTAAGAGAACAACGCTGCACGAAAGAGGGGGTGAACAGCCCTGCTAAACTGCGTGTCTGTGAAGAATACCTGTAGAAACTTGAGAGCTTTGTCGCATCTACCGAGTCGCATGCAAATATGCCCGCACACATCGGCAACATCTTCCCCTTTCTTCAGCCTGTACCAATTAGAAAAGGTTTTTTCCAAGTCCGAGATCAAGTCTTGCTCCGTCCGTGGATTGAGGTAAGGGTGAACACACTGGCTCGTGAACTCGTTGGAAAAGTTCAAGAACACATCTGCGTCGTGTGCTGAATATCGAAGTAGCGAAATCAAAGACTTGATACTGCTGGCAGGTCTGCACACCAAACAACAAATACTGAGGTAGATAATGTTGAGCTCCTCAGTTCCTGCTTTACGGGGGAAAATATGTAAAACGGTGAAAAAACCTTTCTGAAAGCTCTAGATGAAGACTCTACAACTGCTTCCACAACCGCTGGTAGATCGGCATACCCTCCGCCGCATGCAACAGTTTCTTGGGCAGCTCGTTGCCAGTTGATGAGCGCATCGGGTGCGAGATCTTCAACATCTTCGAGGAATGCCGCAACGCTCCTCCCCATTTCAAACTCCGAGCCGCAGAGCCACAGGCCTGTGCACACAGCCATCACGCTCCACTCACGACAAAGCAGCATCCTGGAACAAAGGCAGTGAAATAACTCTCCCTCAGACGCATCATTTCCGCATGTACTCGCCTTAATCGTGCTCCAGTGGAAACAAAAATTACCCGTCACTTGGAATGTGTCCCTATATGGTGTCGCATGGGAGAAACCGCCCATGCACTCGAAGAAGGTCCTTATGGCGTGCAGGTTGAGCATGAATGAGATGGAGCCGTGAATAGCGATGTGAGGGTCTCTCAGACCCACAAACTCATCCGCAGTAGGGTACCCCTTATCGCCAACTAAACAGAACAGGCGACCTCCCCCTATGTGCCTGAGGTTACGGAAAAGGGCAAATGCTCCTATTGGAAGTACAAAAGAAAGCTGCTTGTTAAGCTGGCGGTAGCGCAGTAAAACCTCTTTAATTGTGGGATCCCGCTCTAAATAGGTAATATTTGCTGGACTAGAAGGGTCGCAGGCCTCCTCCAAGTTCACCCCCAACCACTTCCAACCCAGGGTCATGCGCAGCATTATCTCTGGAGCATCCAGCTCCTTCTCCTCTGAGGGCGAGTAGATGGACACAAGTGCCCTCTCAAATTCATGCTCGGCTGCCCCTGGCGTTATCCTGCAGGCCAAAGCGCAGCGAGCACTTCCAACACAAGATGCGCATTGCACTGTACTAAGCTGAAACTCATATGTCGAATGAGGGGTGACGCTGGCGATGGAAAATGTGCAAACACGTTATCAGGGAAATTCACGGGTCGAGGGCCCCTCGAGTATCTGCAGTTCGGTGCATGTCCATGCCTTCATTTTTCGCTCAATCGTGATGCTGGTGCCAGTGTTCGTGAATTGCATGCATTAGAAATGAGGATATCACCTCCAGGAATCTGTAAGGAGAGAGTCTAGAACGTAGTTGCAAATGGCAATGACTGGGGCCGAGCCATTTACTAGTGCTTCATTCCTGACAACCAGATGGACCGTCTTGTCCTTGTTTCCGTCGAACACAGCAAAATCGAGCCACTTCATGTCTACAAAGGTCTTCAGTGCCGGATGCTTGGAGCAAAAATCCACGTTTGCCTCTGCCACATCTGAAAACACAACGATGAAGGGGCGCTCAGGGAGCCCTAAACTTGCAAAGAGTCTCTGGTACCGCTTCAGGGCCTGTAGCAGCAGAAATGTGAAGCGCCCATGTCCTCCGCCTATCTCCAGGATAATGACGGGTTTTTCTGGGTCTGCTTCCTTCCGCCTAAACCAGTCCTGTAGGAAGTTTATGATTATTTTTGCGTATGATCGGCACAGGCGACTGTTGCTCGTCACAAAGGACGGAACATAGTCGTGAGCCCATGCCTCAATAGCCACTTGTTTGTAGTAGTTGTCTAGCATCTTCCACATGATAGAGTCGCACAAAGGAGAATCCCGTTCAACACAAAACTTTTCCTGGGGGCATTGCTCCACCGGGGCTTCACCCCCAACTGTTGCAATTCCCGAACCCCTGAACTGAGTTGCGTTTCCTGCCATTTTCACTTTTCAGATGACAACCCAGTGCCTGTGCCAACAAAGGTGGTTACTGCTATCCCGCTGCAGATATTATGCTACTCTCCTCTATAGCGGTCTCCACAGGTGCTCAATGCGCATGCAATCGTGTTCTCTAGTGCCGTCGAAAGTGGATTTTCCAACTTAATTCCTCATTGTTATCTGAATGATATGGACGCAATAATGGGCATTTCCCTGCAGCAACCTGCAGGGAACCACTGGCCACCACGGGTCGGTCAAGTGAAGACCGTCCTTGAGTGGCGCTAGGAGGATCAGGGGGGGTTATCCCGTGTGATAAAAAAATTGAAAGCGAAGAATTGTGTTGGTTGTCCAAGATACACAATGCGTGCAGAAACAAGAGTCACAGCTAGTCAGCGCCCGCAAACGAAAGGGCGCGAGGTCAAGGGGGTCTAAAGTGCCGCGAAGCGGGCCCAGTGGGAGTGGGACCGGCAGAAACTGTCGGATATAATACACAAACTTCACCCCAACTTAGAAAGAAGCTCCACTAGGAACGCTTCGTACAAATTCATTGCACCGATTACTAAAGACACCGGTGGCAGTGATTGGGGCTGCAGTAGTGAACAGCTGGCCAACACTGTTACTACGTATGTTCCCTAAGCTATTCTGAATCGGTGCACACTCGCAACTAACTACTAAAATCCATGATTCTCGCTAAAGCCTCTACTTAGCGCAATAAATAGCCATAACACATTCGAGTTCGTATTATTGTTAGGGAAGAAAACTCAGACTAATAGAACTGGCCCTCGCCCCTCCTCAGGGTCAGCGCCAGAGTCACAGCAACTGCCTCACACCCAGCCCCAAGCTGGTGGCGGCCGGCGAACACTCTGATCCTATTAAGCTTCTTTTCTATCTTACAATGTCCTAACCCCTGAGATATTCGGTAGTATTTATTCCTTCTTCTTGGTACTAGGCCCCTAGAGGCCACGCCAGAGATCCTGCCCGTCCACTACAGCTGCAGTGCACAGGCATTACAATGGTTCACCCTGTGAAACCTCTCGAGGCCAATTCCACAGAAGGAAATGATGTAATATATTATTATTGATTGCTTAGAGCATTTACTTATGAAATAGAGAGAACTGGGTACGAGCTCCAACAGCGCATGGGGCGACCAGTAGTGCACAGGCACTACATGGTTCACAGTCGCGGTAACCAGTGTGTAAGCTAGATAGTGAGGGCAGCAGCCCAATAGAGACCTGAGGCTACCTAAGTTAGCTATAGATGGAATTCGCTAATATTAGCAGGTTTAGAAGCATATTAGAGGTGTAGCAGTTGATTTGGTGCTGGGACTGAGTAGCAGCACCCCGTCGCACAGCTATGCGCGCTGGCGCATAGGAGGTAAGTGACATAGTTGGGTCATGTTTGGCTCGGTGTATTCAATTAAGGATAGAGCTTAAGTGAATTAGAATAGAATCGGTACATCTAGGAGCAGAGTTAGACCGAAAGAGCCGGACCTCGCCTGCGGTCCGACCGATGCACCCGATGCCGTGATGAACGGCAGGGTGTAACCCGCACCCGGCGGGGACGAACAGACATTCACTGAAGGAAGGTGACTTGGAACGATCCTTCCTTGGAAGTTCCGTAATTTATGGATTTTCCTTGGGAATAACTGAGAGTTAAGGGATTTAGACACTCAATTTATAGATCTAGCTCATACAGGGGCCTACTGGCCCATAGGGGTGACTACGTAGCCACGGTAGGCGGACACCGTGTGTTACACGACCTGTTGCTCGCTAGAACGTTGAGGCCATGACTCACTTTCTGGGGTGAGGCCGAGACAGATCTATTTTGTGTCTCCTTTTGCAAATAGGGTGACTGGAAAATTCGTATTTTGGTGTATTAAGTCTGATTATAATTATTTTAAGGGAAAGGGGCGGGATTTCGTGTCTAGCAGTCTAGTTGCGCACCCTGGTAAGGTCACAGGACTTCCGCAATCGCAGACGAGTGCGAGCTGTGGATTACATTTGAGGGTTTCTCCACCTCCGACAAGGGTGAATAGTAGAGAATAGTCCAACCAGGCAGATCATTGCACCAGAGCCCACGGTCACTGATGCGGCTAGGTGGCTCCGAGTCCTGCTGAATTCGTTGAGCTCACACGGTGCACGTAACCAGGTGGCGGACGCACTGTCATGACTCCCCTGTTATGCCCACCCTCGACAGTCAACTATAGTCAACACATCCGTCACCCCCTTTCAAAGGTCCTTACCTGCTGTGGCATTAGCACCCACACACCCGATTCAACAACGGGGAAAGGCGGGCCAACCACAGGGAGCTGGCAGGAATCCGTTCTCGTACACCCAGACCGATTTCCAAGTCACACTAGGGAATGCTCAAGCCCCTAGGATCAGACCAAAATCCTGTGGACGCACACAGCAGTGGGCACTCTGAAGACCGGTGGCGCTGACCCCCACGGCTGGGCAGCAGCTCACCAAAAGTATCCAGCTCTTTGAAATCCTTACAATGCAGCTGTGAACGCCAACGGTACAGCGGTCCAATGCGAGTTCCGAAATCGCCAACTTGCCTGTCGGTTTGTGGCTAATAAACCATGGTTGCAGACTCGAGTGTCTGCATCCATGATTTTTGGTGTTTTTTGTGTTACTCGGTCTCGCTCCTTACATGCATTCTCTATACTCATAGTGACAATGTGACCGCAAGACATCGAAGCCATAAAAACAGCTTTTTCGCCCTGAGCAAACACTACTGTTGACCTTGCATGTTTACATACACTAACGCGTACGTGGTGTCATGTACACACTGCGGCGCCGCTAAAACGTTGAACCATAAACCAGCTGGCCGCCTTCAACATATAGTCACCCCCTCATACCGGAGCAAATGTTGCTGACACGCATACAATCTGAAGCGCGAGAGTGGGAGCGTCTTATCCCTCACCTGGAGTTGGCTTGCACCACGACGAGTCATTCATCCAGGGGGCCCTCCTCCTTTGAGGTTATGATTGCTGAGGACCCGTTTACAGCGGATCGAGATGTCGTTGGTCCATTGGCCCATATCCTCACCCCTTCCATGGTTAAATCTTTTTTAGAACTATGCGGCCCGGCACAGAATCATTTTTTAAGGGTAGGATGGCACCAAAAACTCTACACGGATTCAAGTCGGCGAGCAGTGGAAAACTCTGTTGACGATAATGTGCGGCTCGGCAGCAAGTATCTCCCTGCACTGAACGGCTGCCCCAAGTTTGAGTCCCGTTGCTGAGGACCCTTTCCGATGGTCAAATGTGTCGGTGCTGTCGCCTACGGTCTCGCTTGCCCTCTAATTAGTGCTTCCATGGTGTTTTACGTGTGTCATAATTTGTTTCCCACAGGCGTCGTGCTCCATACTTAGTCCCTTAGGAAGCCTCAGTGGACTGGGCCGGACGTGAGATGCATCGGATCAACTGACTGGCCAATGCAAAGTATTGTTTTCTTCGCTACCGAGGCTCCGAGGCTCAGGCAGCGACGGCGTAGCGGTCAACGCGCTCCCCTCATGGTAACCCTATTCGCCCTTAACCTCACCCGCCCCGTGTCTTCGCAGCGATCATTCCCTTCCCTATAGTTCCTGAATGATGAGCTCTTCCTCCTTCGACCATCTGTTTCTTCTGTGTGTGGTAACTCATGATTTTATCAGTGATTTACCTCTCACCACACAGAAAAATGACTCGATTTTCGTGCTGGCCGATTCCCTCGCCGAACTGGCTCACTTCACCCCGGCTGAGATAGATGTTGTTATCGATTAGCCACTCGCTGACGGGTGATCCTCAGGTAGAATGCGAATCGCCAATACTTGCTGCTGCCGGTGGCATTCACATCCTACGCGACAACAACACAAATGAAACTATAAGGGCGCTTGAACCACAGCCAGACTATCTACAAGCTGACCAGACTTTACGCGTGCATATGTAGAACATGGAATTCGTTCTTCTATGTAGAGTTGGCTCTTTTTGTCCAACGATAACATGCTTCATTTTTGCTAGCTGAGCTGCTAGAGCGTCCTAGCCGAAGTAGCTATATCACCTAGCGTAGATGATGATACACCTCTATCGCGATCTTGTTCCTGTTTGGTTTCCTGTGTTCAGCCTTTCCCATTTGCCTCTGACACAGACAATGATGCCTTCTGTCAAGGCACAAATCGCTACTCCATTCCACTTCTCAAAACCTGCAGGGGCTGCAAGTGGATCTGCTGATTCCGATGTCTCTTTAGCAACGGTCTCAGAGAAACCTCCCTCATTTTCATTCTCTGGCACTGCAGCAAGGGACGCAGACACCAATTTACAAGACTCCAATACACAGGCGGGTGCCTGTCTAAAGAAACATATCTTCTCATCGTCAGCAGGTCCCTTGTCCCAGACCCCCACCTTAATGACTGATTCACATATTACTATGTTGTCGTCTTCACGGGCCCCTTCTAACGATCTACCAAGCTCTTTGGAAGTGACGCAGGGGAGCAGCGCTCACCTCGTACAACCTGCGGCTCGGT